CTCCTCCTCCTCCTCCTCCTCCTCCTCCTCTTCCTCCTTCTCTTCCTTCTCTCAGCTTCTGGAAGCACCTCCATTATCAGCTATAGTCTCTTAGTCTACTCTGGATAGCAAAGGCCTGCAATTAGAAGGCCTTGCTCCTTGGAAAGAACACACAAGCATGGTGTGATTAAAAAAAAATACAGTGAATGTTTAAATTTTTCAGATTTATTACAGTGAAAGACGCGTTTCCATTAATCCCCCCAACATACTCCCCCTGGCTTTGAACACACTCCTCCCATGGTCCTGGCCACTTCCTGTAGCAGCTCTGGAGCCCTCTCTCCTGGGTGTCTTTAGTTGCGCTGTCCTGGCTGCCTCGGTGTCCTGAATGGATTCAGAACGTTTCCCTGTCATGGTCATTTTGACTTTGGGGAAGAGCTGGAAGTCACACAGGGCCAGATCTGATGGATAAGGTGGCTGAGGACACAGCGTCACAGGACACAGCTGCTTTTCTGTTGGGTGGCACTGGGCAGTAGCATTCACCACATTTCTGATCACTTTGTAAAGACCCACACGGAAGAGGACTCCAGAGCTGCTTCAGAAAGCGGCAAGGAGGATGGGATAAATGTTTGAAGCAAGGGGGAGGAGTTTGAGGGTAATTAGTGGCAATGTGCCTTCTACTATAATAAATCTGTAAAAACGTAAGCCTTCACCATATATATCTTGATCACCCCCCTGCAGTCTTTGAGCCCATCCTGGATGGTGGAAGGTGACGTCTTGTGGGAGTCTAGGGCTGTGGGCAGAAAGAGGTGGCATCGGTGTGTCCTGGTGGTGATTACTGGCTCTTACAGTGAGCTCTGGGGTCCTTTCACATCAGCAGTTCTCAGACTTTCTGGCCTTGGCCCTTTACATTCAACAATTACTGAGGGCCTCAAAGAACTGTTGTTTGCGTGGATTACATCCATCCCTATCTACTAACTAGGAATTCAAACTGAGAAATGTTAGCAGCACTTAATAACATATTGTTATGCTGCACGATGTAACATGTAATAACACTAGTAAACATATTGCACAGCAATACAACTACCACGTTAATGAAAACCGTTTTTCACTGAAAGTATGGAAAGCAGTGGCATTATTTTGCATGTCTGCAAATCTCTTTAAATGTCTGGCTTAAGAGAAGACTGCGGGTGCTCCTAGCTGCTTCTGCATTTAGACTGTTAGACTGCACATGTCCTGAAGCCTCACATTTCAGTGTTATCATGAAGATGGTTTTGAGCTCATGGACCCTTGAAGGGGTCACACCGCTACTTCCAGAACCACTGCTTTCTGTTCTCTTTCATCGGTGTCTTAGGTCATTTTTAGCATGCAGTGAATGAGTCCCATGTATCAGCCACTGTCCACGACTGGGAAGAAAAGGTTGAATGAGATCCCGTCCTTCTCTTGAATATGCAGACCAGATCAAGAGCATCCTTCCTCCGTGTCTACCCCAGAAGCTGCCTGACTTCTAGATGATGCCAGCACCTGCAGTCCTGACGCATCTCTGCCTTCTGAAACTGCACGTTCTGCCTGCCAGCAATTCACAGATACACGAACACTCCCATGTCTTATTTAAATTGTAAACCTTTCTCGATCCAGCCTCTCTGCGGATTATAGCCTCTCCCTCCCTCTGCAGTGAACTTCCGGAAAGTTTCAAAGTGCAGTCTGCATTCTTTATCAACTTCCTCCTCCTTCATCTCCTTCACCCTCAGACCCTGCAAAACTCCACTCAGAGCCAGCACACTGCACAGATGTCTCTCAGTCCCCCCTCTTCCCCTGGCCTTGACAGCTTTGCACACTGGGGACTGCATGCTCTGTCCTTGACTTGGGGTTTCCTGGCAGCACCTGGAGGGGCCTGGCTGCAACTCTTCTCTGCTAAGGTTCCCATGAATCCCTGGAGTCTTTCATGGTGTGAACGGCTACTTTTTTTGGGTCGTGTTTATTGAAAAGTTTCAGAAACTTCTGCATCCTTAGTTCCCCAAGTTAGGGTTTTTAACTATTACTTCTCTCTGGAGGGAATCAGGGCTGGTTGGAGAAGGCTGATTTCGTAAACAGAATGGGGTAACCTCTAACACAGCCTTGCACTGGAAAGCAGGGATGCACTAGGAGCCTTCTGAGGTCTTGGGACAAGCTGGGGCAAAACTGGCACAGCTTAATGTCACAAACAGCCGTAACTGCAGTGGCTCCAAAACATTTCAATTACGTTGAAGTCTATTTGTTCATAATGTTATTTTCTAAAATACATTGATTACCTTTGAAGAGTGCTAAGGAACCCAACTCATTATTTTTAAAAGCTGGCAAAGAAAAGAAACGAAGTGACCATTTATTATCTTGACTTTCTTGTACAAACTATTCCCAGACTATAACCAAATAATTGATGATGGCAAGTTTCTCTCCATAGATGCAAGCCAGCTAATAAGTGAGGCAGGGATGTTAGAATTAGAATAGCACAGTTTTGCAGGCCCTTATGATTTAGTGAATCTTGGCATTGAATGTATATGGCAGAGGGACAGAGGGAGAGAGAGAGCAAACCCATCCCAGATGGAAGCCCACCACGCTGCCTGTAGCCTGTCCTTCCTCAGATAATCAAACCTGACTCTGGCCAAGCCTGTACAGCATAGGATTCTCCAGGGGCCCAAATCTGGCCCACATTTGTAGAAATAAAAGTTCTATGGAAGATAGCCACATGCATTTGTTCAGGGAGCTGTGACAGGCAGTGTCAGCCACAGAGCTTCGTGTATTTACCATCACTTACGAGACAATTAGAGGGATATAAACACAGATGCTGATCTCATGGAATAATGGTTAATGACTTTAGATGTGATGTCCTGGGTATATGTGTGCATGTGCACGTGTGTGTGTGTGTGTGTGTGTGTGTGTGTTCCTATTCAGTGGAGACATGGGCTACCACACCAGGATGCATTGAGATTTGTTGCAGGAGAGTAAGTCATCAGGGAACATCCTGGGCAGTGTCCTCAGTGGACTGTTACCACCCTAATGACCACGCCGGCCAATCCTGTCCTCATTCCCACTTTCAGGGGAGAAACTGAGGCACAGTGAACGATGGGAATCGTATTCAAAACCCTAGGTCCCGCTTCAGAGCCTGTGTGGTTCAGTGTGGGGTGAGGGCCACCAGGGATGTGCCCTCCCTGAGGTCACAGTGTCCAGCTGGAGACAACAGGCAGAACACCGCCTGCATGGGGAGCAGGGGGTTAGGGACCGAAAACCCACTTCCGCTTTGGGCTGCAGCCCCAGCCGGGTCCCAGGTGCAGGAGAGTCCGGCAGCAAGGCTGCAGCCAGGGAGGCCTGGCTTGGCAAGACTTTGAGGACCGCCACCATGCAATGCTCATGGGGGAGGTGGCATGGGTGTGGCCTGGAGGACACTGTGAGCTGTGTTGAGGAGGTAAAGCCATGGTGGGCGTGGGGCTGAGCCACAGGAGCACAAGGCCTACAGAGACCTGGGCCGCTCCTTCTGTCCTGATGCTCCTGGCGGGCAGCAGGGCCGCCTGTCCTCTCCTTGTCCTCAGCAGCAGGAGGCAAGGTTGGCGCACAGCAGCGTCCTGTTTATAAAGGGAAACTGAGGCGCGGCACACAAACACCGGGCTGCTTTCCCTTCCGGGGACTCCAATCGCTTCCCCTATCCTACCACATCTGCTCAACATCGGGGTGTCCTTGGGCACGCATCACAGGAGGACGCCCAGGCCCGGAGATGGCTGCTTGTCTAAGATCACAGAAAGCAAACATCCACCTGGATTCGAACCCGGTCAGCTGCCTCTGAAGCCTGAGACTCAGTTCTGATGCCCCTTGCTTTGGCGAGAGAGGCCTGAGACCCTGGTCCAGGCAGGGAGACGAATGCTCCTCTAGAGCCACCAGGAGGGGAGCGGTCCTGAAGACACCAGACACAGGACCTCTGACCCAGAGAAGTGCAGGATAACACAGTTCATGCGTTTGAAGTCACTGTGTTTGCGATTTGTTATAGCAACAAAGAGAAACCAACCAGGAAGCTGCGTCACCGGGATCCAATGGCACAGAGGATGGTACTGCAGGGAAAGCCGGGAAAGCCAGGGACACTGAATTGTCCTAGAGCAATTCTGAAGAATTAGCCTGAGTGTGAAAAACCGGGGGATAATGCACCAATTCGTGTCACCAACATCTTAGGGGAGGGTGGGGAAGCGATGCAAATGGAATGAAGCTGTGTTATGTGCATCACCAGCTCCCCACGCGGCGCAGAGTCACTCCGTCCTGCAAACAGGGCCTAGGACGTATTGAAAGAAGGAATGTCTCATGGGCTAGAAGCCATTTCCCTGCATGGGAAGCAAAAGTCCTAAAAGATGATGAAGCATCATGGCTTAATGGCAACCCTTGTTTCCTTCTAGTGCACAAAGGGATGGTTCTTCCTGCCGAGGTCCAAGCGCTTGTCTGACACCATTAGAGCCATGAAGTAGGCACCATGAGGGACACTGTCGCCTCCCGGTAGTCACTCAGCCAGTGCGGGACTGGAGCGAACACCTCCCAGAAAGGCTGTCTGGGTTTGCAGCCTGCCACCCTGCAGTGTCCGTCCTGATTGTTGTCTTCCTTTGCCTCTTTTCTGGGGCTTGCTCCGCAGATGCCTCTTCCCTCTCCCTAGCTGTGCAGTCCCCTGCCCTGCGGCACCAGAAGCAGCTTCTCCCTGTCGCTCTGCAGGCCAAGATCACTTCATTATGATCTCACAGGTGTCAGTATTGTCCTGGAAAGCGCAGCTCTGGGTCCAGCGACTTAAACTGTGGTGATCATTAACCTGGACGCTGATGCCAGCCAGAAGCAGGAGGCCCGGAGAAGCAGAGCCCCGGAGAGGGTCCTGGCCATGGACTGACTTGCTCTGGAGGAGGCCAAATTCAAACTAGTGCTGTCAAAAGTCTGCGTTGATGGGGATCACTTAGAGAAGGGGCTGTCCTTTGTATGGATCTGTGAGGGTTTTTTGGGAGGAAAAGTATAAGAGCATAAAGAAATAAGACAGAAGAGAAGGAGGAGGAGGAGGAGAAAATGCAGGCCATACGAGGGCCCTCATGAATCTGCATTTCCACACCCATCACCTATGAAGTGGAGGAGCTGCATCAGTGAGATCAGTTTCCTCTCCCGCTGGGACCCAGAAACCAACACCACAAGCCCTGGGCACGGGCCTTGCTCATCTGCCACTGAGCTCAGGGCAGCAGCCCCAAAGGGCCTCCCCCAGAAGGGTGTTGGAGGAGAGAAAGGTGGGGGACCTCAAGGGACCATGTGTCAGGCAGGCCCCTCCCTGCACACAGAGCAGCCACAGCGCAAGTGACTTCAGGCTGCCCCACAGTCTCTGTTGGGTGACATGTGACCTGCAGGTCCCTTCACAGACAATGGGGACCCAAAAGGCACCATGCTACTGTAGTCCGCTTTTGGGTGCTATGCCATACAGGTAGGGAAGAGGGCTCATTCATGCCCAGACTGCTCCTCCTCTCCCTCAACCTCAGAGCTGCCCCAAGACCCCACCTCGAGAGGTGGGAGGGTGTGACAGTGAACCTCCAAGGAATCACTGGAGATGTAAACATAATTTTTTAACTCAGCCGAGGTAGCAAAGGGCAGGAGAGATGGAACTAAAATCTGATATGGTAGGCAAGTGGCTCAGTGCACTTCAGTTCAAGGAATAGCAACCCTGGCTCAAAAAAGGCAGAGATGGAATTGAGGAAGGGACCATCCATGACGAGGAGGCCCATCCTTTCATGACCCAGGAGCCCAGGAACAGAAGAGGGACAGAGGAGACAGAGCCAGGGCCAAAGAGGAAAGGGTTCTCAGAGCTGAGGACAGATCAGAAATGCTCACCGAATGCTGGGAGAATTGTTTAAAAAGACACATATGGAATTCCAAAGACAGAGACATTTTTTAAACTCACAAAGCCTGGGAGTCTGTCTAGGAAACGAAATGGTAGCGGATAGTAGACCAGCAGATTGGAGGTGAAGGGGAGGCAGCTGGCCCTGAATTCTACACCCAGCCGAACTGCCTTTCCTAAGGGCGTAGATGGAGGGGAGCATCGTGCACCTGCCAGCACCAGGACCAGGACAGTCCCCACTTTTGAAAAACCTCAGCCTGGTGGAAGGAAGGAGCCTGGGGACCCAAGACAAGGAAGAAGAAGCACAGGAGAAGCAGAGGCATGGATAACACAACTGTATCTCAACACCAGTTGGTGACAGGACTGAGAATGTAGTGCAGTGGTGAAGAAGGGGTTCCGGAAGTGAAACAAAACCACCGAACAACCAAGGAGGCCTATTCTAGGTTACTTCCACTCTTTCCGCTGCGGGTAAGTGGGATGAGGGGAGGGGAGGGGACAGAGCCCCTCGGTGTCTCCCGGGAGCGGGGAGCAGGCACAGATCCCTCTGCCCCACAGTAAGGGTGGGTGCTGGCCGCCAGCCAGTGCACTCCTGCAAATTCTTCCACCCTTTGGAACCTGGCTTCTGCCACTGCAGAGCGGAGCTCCAGCCCACGATGCAGGGTACTTGTGAAGTTAAGCAATGACACCTGTCAGTCTCCTCGCAGAAAGCTGCTATGTTTTCAGAGATGAAGTATTATTTTAACTAAAAATAATTATTATGGATGGAGATAAGTTCAGACATATTTTTAAACCATTTTCCATAAATCTACCAGAAAACCTTCCCGTTTACCTCCTGGGTGTGTAGTGTTGACATTCCCCACGCCAGGAGGTTTATGGCCTGTGACCCCATGGAGAGAAGACCCCAAGGTGACTGGTGTCAGGGCTGTGCCTCTGGGAGGATCAAGCTCACGGTGCCCGGGATCTGCCCAGGTTGGGCTGGGCTGGCTTTGGAGGGAGTGTTTGTTGGCTTTTTTCCCTGGGACCTTGGGGCAACTCCTGCTCAGGTGGGTGGAGGCCCAGCCCAGCCCATCCTGAAGCACCTGACAGAGGAAGTGGCCCTGCTGATATGCTTCCTGATACAGCCAGCAGGATGTAGACCTGTGTACACAAGGCAATGGCTGCTGTTTGTTTTTAAACCGTAGGCATGAGGTCGGCGTCACAGCCCAGTCCTGCTCCCCCTGCTTCCCAGACCCTGGAAACCCAGGAGAGCCTTGCTCCTTTGTAGGATGAGGAGCATGAATAGGTCCAAGGGCTGCTCTGGCTAACAGTCCTTGGAGAACCGCATAGGGAAGCTGGGGAGGGTTGGGCTGGGTTGGGCTATGACCTGCTCTTTGGTGCTGCCATCCATACCACCGCTTCCTACTGTGGGAAGTGTGGCTATGAGACTTACCTTCTTGGAGCTGGTATTTAAAGCAAATCAATCACTGTTATCATGGTGTTTATCAGCTGCCATGCACCAGACCTTTACTCAGCTTCTGTCGCTTAATTCTTAGGCAACTGTGGGCAGTGCTGTTAGGGTCCTCAATTTGTAAGTGAGGCCACTGAGACACTGAGGAGTTAACGGACCTTGGCCTCATCACTGGAGACCTTAGATTCCAGCACTCGAGAAATGAATTCATGGCGTAACTTCCGGGGGATTTGAGGGTAACAGAACTGAGCTGAACTGAAGTTTTGGGTTTTTGCTTCATTACTATTTTGCTTTATTTGCTTTATTACTATTTTGGGATTTTGCTTTACTACTATTTATAAGTTATTTTCACTTAAGAATTTCTTTTATTTGCTTCTGAAGGGAAATCCTCTAATTGTCTACCTTTGGTGCAGAGCTATAACGTCCTTTCCATGAAATGGGATCGACCTCGTCTCTCCTCCTGAAGGTCGGGAGCTTTCTGAAGTGTATGAATGTGTCGAAGAGGTCACGAACTCACCTTTCTTCTGCTTGGGAATCTGAGGCTGGAGTGTTTTTATTTGTCAAATTCTGGTGATAGACCTTGGCTGGGGTATTCTGTTCCCAGAGCTCGAAGATAAATGGATAAGCTCATGTCATTGGGTCTCTGTTGTCACAGCACACTGGACATTGCATTCAGTAGAATCCCTTGATGGAAACCAAATGAGAATCCTGAGGTGAAAGACAACCAAGAGGAGGAGGATAATCTTGGCTCCAACCCCAGGACGGATGGGGTAAGTTCCTTCTTAGCTGACCCGAGCCCTCTGCAATGTTTGATGCCAGGGCTCCCACACCAGGGCTTCTCTCGGTTTCCTCATCTCACGCTGGGTTTTGTGCTCTTCTAGTCTCGCCTTCTAAGTCCTTTTGCTGGGTTCTCCCCTTCTCTCAACCTCAATATTGGAGATACCAAACATCTTGGTTCTTTTCTGTGTCCTGCTGTGTTAGCTGTCTGTCACTGTAACAAATATTTGAGATAATCAACTTATAAGGAAGAAAGATGGGTTTCAGCTCAGTGCCTGGGAGGTTTCAGTCCATGGTCAGTTGCCTCTGCTGTTTCTGGGCTGGTGGGGAGGCAGCACATTGTGGTGGAAATGTGCGGTGGAAAGAAATCGCTCACTCTTCCAAGGGCATGCCCCCAGTGACCTAAAGAGTTCCCGAAAGACTCCAGCTCCCAAAGTTCTACAGCCTCCCAAGGGTGCCGCCCTAGAGGCCAAGACTTAACCAGTGGTCTTTATGGGGCCACTTAAGATCTAATGATACCACTGGATTAGCCAGCTTTTCATTGCTGACACAAAATACCTGTGCATAACTTAGAGGAGGGAAGATTTATTTCGGCTCACCTGTTTCAGAGTGTTCAGTCCATGGTTGGCTGACTCCAAGGCATCAGAGTAGAGGGACAAGGCAAAGGAAAGTTTCCCACGTCATGGAAGACAGGAAACAGAGACAGAGACAGAGGACAGAGAGAGATAGAGAGACAGAGACAGACAGAGACAGACAGAGACAGAGATAGACAGAGACAGAGAGAGACAGAGAGACAGAGAGAGAGACAGAGACAGAGAGAGAGACAGAGACAGAAAGCAAGACAGCCAGAAAGCAGGACAGGGCACACCCTTCAAACATCGTCTCAGTGACCAGCTTCTGCCTATTGGGCTTTGCCTCTTAAAACTCATTCAGCTATGAGCTCCTCAACAGATTAATTCTGATCCATTGGCAAGTTTAGCACTTTCAATATATGGGTTTTGGGGAGCACTTCATATTTAAATCATAACATTCTGAGCCTGGCTCCCAAAGGCTCATGAGAAATGCGTTATCTCCTTATGAGAAATGCATTTGGTCTGTCTCGAAGAGTTGTTAAAATCCCAACAGTTCCAGTATTTCCCAAAAGTTCAAGTCTTAAGTCTCTTTTGAGACTTGAAGCAATTGTTAGCTATGAGCCCCTGTTTAAGGAAAAAACATAATCTCAAGGTAAAATGACATAGAGCAAGCATTCTCATTCCAAAAGGGAGAAGTAGGGAAATCAAAAGGAATTGGATCAAAGAAAGTCTGAAAACCAGCAGAGCAGACATGAAATCCCGTGACTTCATGTCCAGCATCTGGGGCATATTGTGGCAAGATGTGAGACCCAGAAGGCTTGGGCAGCCCCATCCCCATGCTATTGCTGCTTGCAGCCCACAGGCTCTCTCTCATGGGCTAGATATGCTCATTACATGGAGCTTTCCTGGCCTCTCCCACTTCCTAGGGTCTCCATTGCACTCACTCCCATAGCTTAACACATCACTCTCAGGGACTCCTAGAAGGGAAGGAATCCAACTCTGTCACACATGCTTGCCTATACTCTCAGGCCTTCCTTTGAAATCTGGCTGGAAGCCTCCATAACTCTTGTACTCTGCATGGCTGCAAAACCAATATCACCTAGCCAATGCCAAGGTCAGCCACCAGCTTGAGCATTAGCTGGGCCCCCTTGAACCACAGCTACAGCGGCCTCTGAGTACTTGGATGAAACTCTTCCTTAGGGGGCTCTGAGTGAGCAGGGTTCCTTGAGGCTCTCTTCTCAAAGCAGTCTTTCGAAAAAAACTTTACACTTATTACCCCAGAGCCTGAGATGAGTGGGGTCTGGCCCATCCCTGATATGCGCTGGAGACATCCTTTCTGTTGGCCTGGGGCAAGATAACGGGCTTCTTTTTAGTGGCTCTAATCTCTTCATCAGCCACAATTTCTTTGGCTCCAACCTCAAATGCACTTCTTTTCTGGCCAAACAGCAAATTTTTCAAATCTTTCAGCTCTGCTTTTTGCTCCCATTTCTCACTGTAAATCTGGCTAAAAACAGCCAGCAATACTTACACTACAGCCTGAATGTTGTGCTGCCTTGAAATTTCCTCTGCCAAATAAACTAGTCCGTCACATTTACATTCAGCCTCCCCTAACGTCTCAGGACAGAGACACAGTGTAGACAAGCTTTTTGCCTGAATTCGATGCCTTGTTCAGTTCCCAAAAGAATCTTCATTCCCATCTGAAACCTCATGCAGTCTTTACTATCTACATTCCGGTTTTCAGAACTCATAGATTTGCCCAGCAAGCTTGACTTCTAACCTTCCAGGGTTCCCCTAGCTTGTATCTCCAAACTTTTCCAAAGGCCTCCCATAAACCAATTACAAAAGCTTATGAACCACATGGTCAGGTATAAGCACAGCAGTGACCTGACTTCTCTGCTATCAATTTTCTCTATGACCTTTCATCACTGAGACAAAATACTTGACATACACAACTAAGAAGAGAAAGGATTTATTTTGGTTCAGGGTTTCAGAGGTTTCAGTCCATGGTCATTGGCTTCAAGGCAGAAACATCATGGTGGACAGGCATAGCAGATGTAGCTGCCACATCAGTGCTGCCAGGAGGCAGACTGAGAAAAAGGGAGCCAGGGAGAGAGAAAGTAAGTGGCTGCAATATATCTTTCAAAGTCATGCCCTCAATGACCTACTTCCTCCTGCATTACCACAGATTTTACAGAATTTAAGAGGATACAGTAAGCATATTACAAAAATCTTTTTTGAAATAAATTTGACAAGTTCTAAGAAGTACCTTGGAAGACAAATTAATGAAACTAACTCCGGAGGAAATATAAAATTTGAATAGCACCTATTAAAGAAAGGATATTCCTAGCTTGAAAACCTACCTATATGACAACAGCAGGCTCATAAACATTTTAACTGACAAATTATATCAAATATTTAAAACAGAAAAAAGAAAGAACACCTCTCCCCACATTTTGGAAAATCAACATTGTGCTAATCATAAAACTGGATAAGGATAATAGAAGAAAAAAGTATGAACATAGATAGAAATTTGTTTAACAAAACAAACTATTAGAAGTCAGATCTGGCAGTATGTAGAAAGTGGTTTTATTATAGGGATGGCAGTGTTGGTTCAGCATTGGAAGATCCACCCCCAAAAGTCATCATTTTAACAGAGGAAAGGAAAAAGCCATATGATCCTGTCATTAGTTGGAGAGAAAGTATTGGACTAAATTCTACAGCTGTTCGTGGTAAAAGCTATCAGTGGACTAGAAGTAGAACAGAAACTTCTCAACAGATCAAAGACTCCATACTTCCAGCAAAAATTACTTATATGAATGGAGAAGGTACAATGCTTTCTCCCTAAGGTGGGGTAAGGTGTCCATTAAACTTTGAAACATAGGCCTAAACCAAAATAGTCTGGCAATAAAATGACACAATTAGGATAGGATTGGCAAGGTAGAAGCAAAATCTTTATATGTAGATGAAATGATTATCTACAGAGAAAATACTAAGAAATCTCTAGGAGCCCCTAGAACTTGTATTTGCATTTAGCAGGATTAGAAAACACAAGATATATATAAAAATTCAGGTCTGTGTATACTTGCTATAAATGAAGAATTGGATATTGAAATTAAAAAATTATGTAGGAGTACAAAGGACCTAGAAAAGTAAAAAGATAAAGGAAAAAAAACAGTGTTGGAAGACGTTTAGTACCTAATTTTAAGACTTCCTCTCTTTAGAGGAAATAATCTACAGTGATCAAGGCAGTGTTGGTGTAAGGAAAGACATATAGATCATTCCAGTCGATTTTTCTTTCCTGGCCACAACATTTTGAAAGAAAAAGAACAGACGTGTTGGGTTGTGGCCTGTGTGCATTTCTTTCATGAGGTCTGTGAATCCCTCATTGTTTGCTCAGACAAGCCCTGGCTTTTATTCCCCTCTGTTGTGTCTGTGTGTAGCACTGTACCAGGTAATGAAAGGATTTTTCTTATGTTTCTGCTCTTTGTTTCCAAGGAACAACAGAGAAAGGGTATTTCCGGACCAGCAAATGAGTTCCCAGAAGCAGGTGGAGAAGGAATGTGGACCCCGGGGAGGAACAGAGCAGAGCAGACATTCCACATTCCCCGCTGCTGAGGCGACAGTCAGACTTTTCACTCACAGGGTGCCCAGGGCCAACTCACACCCCACGTGGCCTTAGTCTCGAGCAGCCCATCTCCTGCCCAGCCCAAGTGGAGCCCATGGGTACTGGACACCCCTAGGGGGCGCCATTCCTGGCAGAGCCCTGGGGAACCAGAACCTTGGGCTTGTGCTGTGGGCACCCTGCACTTTGCTACCCCTGGCCTCTTTGGCTCCCTTGACCTCCTTGCTCTTATACTAATCCTATTAACAATCCACAGGCCTTTTGGTCCTCCCTGCTCAGCACAACCAGAATAAGGGGGCTTTCAGGAGACAGGCCTGTTGGGGCCCCATCAGGAGGACCCTGTCCTGAAGCCATCAGCTCCCAAGACCGTGGGGGCTGTCAGGGGCTGCCACCCTCTCAGGTGTCACCTGCTCCACTGTCCTCCCCCGGCGGGTGCGCTGGCCTCCCGAGAGTCTGGATGGACTCCAGGCTGTCACGATGACATGGTAATTGCACTCATCTAGTAGAGCTAGATCTGCCGAGAACAATACGGGGATAATGATGTGCTTCAGCTGCTGCTGTCCTGAAGGTCAGGAAGTGAGGTGGCATGCACCTGTCTCAGGGTGCGGTGATGGCCAGGTGTGCACACCCTGTAGAACAGAGGCTCTGTGGCCTGACTGTGCCAGCCAGGTGCCTCTGGGGCCCCTTTCCTCTCCTGCCCGGAGACTCGCTGCTCAGCGGCTGCTGTGAGCTCAGTCCTCTGGGGCAGGAAGGCTGTCCCTCTGGGGGTCCGCTGAGACTTCCGCCACACTGTGCGTGGATATCTCCGTGCGCCGTCCCTGCCCCCTCATGCCTGTCCCCTTCTGTTCTCTGCCACTCCCTACCCTCTCCCCACCTCCCATCCCAGCCTCAGCGACCCCCTCCACCCCTGTGGGGCTGTTCACGCCCCTCTGTGGACCCCGGAAGCCAGCTGCTGCTTCCTGGCCTATGCCATGGTAACATCGGCCACCATGAACACCTGAGCTACTTTCCAGAGCTCACAGAGAGCTCTTGGCTCTATGATGCCCTCTGATCCTCACACCAGCTACCTGGGAATGAAAATGCAGGAGCTGGATTGCATTTATAAAGATGCATTTATTTGGCTTTAATAAACATTGTGCTTTCTCATGCATTACATATTTTTAAAATGATTGTTTTTGTTGACCAGTACTCCGTAAAGCTTTTTGAGGGATTGTGCCACCTATGCTGCATCTTCACTGTCCCAGAGAATGTGAAAATAGTAATGCCACCTACTCTAACTTTCTCCTTACTACTGGGCAAGAATAAGTGCCCTGCATTTTTACCGTGCTTTATGCTTAAAAAACCCCAAAACAAACCAACGTTCCATTCCCGATATAACTGCATCACCTCAGCAAACTCTCAAGGTAAGGAGGAGCAAGAATTACTATCTTGAGTTTACAGATTGGGGAAGGTGAGGCTTGGGTAGGCTAAATAATTGGAGTCATAAATAACAAGTGGGAAGCAGAGGCAGAATTTGATTTTAGAGTTCCTGATGTCTTTTTCTGCAGTGGGATTCAATTTATTTCCTAAAATGATAGCTTCTGGATAGAGATGGGAAAATACAAGACTATGTGTCTCTCCCACCACCAAATGCAGCCACTTCCCACCCGTTTTTCACACATCCTAGAGGACAAGGTCCTCCTCCCACCCCAGCACCCAACTTTCCAGCTAATATCTCCCACACTTCTCTTCCTTTGCTCCTGGGCAGTTGACACACAGGCTTGATGGCTCTGAGCCCCAGGGGTGGCAGGACGGGGACTCACCTGCAGCCTGAGAAGGGGAGGCTTTCTGGACAGCTTCCCTGCAGGACAAAGGCAGCGCTCCTGCAACACCACCATTCACCGGCTGTGGACAGAGGTCATCGGGGTCTTGCCCACTGTAGGCTTTGGGTCGGGACTGAGTGCAATGAGCCACCACAGCGGGCAATGATGATGACACCCTGTCCACTTAGAGACCATGGAGCCCTGTCCACAGGGAGTTCTGAGGAGGGACATTGCCCTTTGTTGGCCTGGTCCTCAGTGGGCTTTGAGGACCGATGTGGAGCCCCAGAGCATCCAGGAACGCAGTAGGCCCTGGAGTGGTATTCGTGTCATCGCCTCCCTCTGTGGCTGCTGACACCTGCAGGGCGCCTCACTCCTCTCCCAGCCATAGTGGGTTGCCCGGGCCTTCTCGGCGGGATGGCAGGTGAGCTTCCTGCCCTCCTTGGATCTCAGTTTCCCCCTCTGTGAGTCTGGGGCAGCAGGGGAAGGTATGATCCGGAGCACTTAGGTGCTCCCAACATGGACCCATGCCCCGAGCTCCATCTTTCTACCCCAGGACTGAGGACATGAAACCACGTGCACTTGACCCAGATCATTTAAAGATTGTCCAGGCCAACATTGCCAAAACCAGAGCCCGGGTCCACTCTGAGTGGCCCTGTGCACAAAGGGAGCATGGGAAAAATCAGCCCTGGTAGAGGCGGAGGCTGGCAGGATGGTCCCACAGAAGGAAGATAACATTTATGTTTTATTTTTAAAATTTTAAAAAATAACCTTATTATCAAACACATACACATAAAAAAATTAAAACCATTCAAAGAAGAACAATGCAAGGGGAAAAAACCTACAATAATATTCAAATACAGTAGAACTCGACCAAAACAGAACTGAAAAGCACATAAACATTTTTCCATATAACTTAAAAAAACTTCTCAAGCACCAACTAGAGGATGTGACTTGTTTCAGAAAGATCCCCAAAACCAACATTGAACAAATAATGATCTGGAAAAAAAAAAACTCCAGGTAGTTAGCAGACTCCACATAAGCCAAGCTTCTCCCTAATTTAAATTTCAATACAGTCATATGACACACAATGGAAACATAACCCGAGAAATATGTTATTAGGCCATTTCATCCACGTGTATCCTTAATTACACTTTCAGTTTCTCAAACTAGAGAAACTATTCAGTATTTACACATGTGTCTTATTTATTTCACTTAAGAGTATGGCCTCAATATGCATCCATTTAGCTATAAATGTCTCTAGTTTGTCATTCTTTATGGCTGAGTAGTATG